AATTTGAAGTTGATAAAGACTCTTTGAACCGAAACGCACAGTATCAAGCAAGTGACGCAAATTTTGCGTCTAAATTTGACTAAATTCGAAATGAGTGAGGAATTTGTCATGAAATTTCAATCTGTTCTCAGTCAATTGTGGACACAAAACCTGAATCAAATGCTTCCTGGAGCAAACGTTTCGGATCTCATATTCACAACAAATGCATCTGCGACAAATGATGATGGTTTGTGAACCGAAACGTCCCTTATAAGGCAAATGATTCGGGTTTTGTGTCAAAATTTGACTAAACGCGGCCTGCAAGTTCGCTCGCTCGATGTTAATGTGATTTTGAAATATTTCAACTGATGATGGCCTGAGAATCGAAACTAAACGTAGTAATTTTTCAGTTTCCTTATACAGTCAGTGTCGTGCCCTAAAGGCTCGGCACAAAAAACGCATTTAATTTAAATTTATATTGAATTGGAGGAAAAAATGCAAAAAATCAGTTTAGTTTTTGAAAATTCAAGTTGGGCAAACTAAATCAAGCAGCGTTTTGAAATTTTAACCACTTTTAGGAGACACTTGAGTCTCCACAATCTGAAAGTTTCACGAAAATTACTCGGAATCCTGAGATTCGCCAGTGCATTAAATGCCGGTCCCAAAAGTAATGATTTTCCAAACCTGCGCTCTCTGTGTTAAAAATTCGCATCCTGCAAACGAAAGCACGCGCCTTTTTGAAATTTTTGCCCTCGTTAGCAGTCACTCTCAGCTAAAGATGTGGCAAGTTTCATCAAAATTCAACAAAATGTTGCTTTTTGCCAGCTTACTGAGTATCGCATTCAAGCTGTGTGTTTTGCCCCAACTGTGCCCTCTCATTAAAAAATTCGTATCTTTCAAACTAAAGCTGCCAACAATTTGAAATTATCACCATTTTTTTAAAACGCTTTGCACTAAAGACGCTGAAATTCGTATCAGAATACAAAAAAAAACACATATCTTGCTAGCTGATTAAAACTCGGTCTTAAAGCGGATGCTTTTACCCAACCGCACGCTTTTTCTTAAAAATTAACATCTTCCAAACTAAGGAAAGTGATGCCTGGAAAATTTTGCCATCTTTAGAAGACACTTTGATCTACACAATCTTAAAGTGTCATAGAAATTTCGCAAATTCCTCATTTTTATTGACTCAATATCGCTCTCAAAGTAAATGTTTTTACCCAACTGCGCTCCTTCTTTCCCTCGTGGTTCGTCCTCTACACTAAACTTTCACTGTCTCTAGAACGCGCTTAAATTTAAAGAAACAGAAACTTCTCTGCAAATTGTCTCGAAAGTTGCGTTTTATCAGATTAGGAAAAATCAAACTGAAAATTGAAGGTTTTGCCTAACTGCGCTCTTTTCTTTAAAAATTCAAATCTTCCAAACCAAAGCGAACAGCAATTTCCAATTTTCTTCATCCTTAGACCCGACGTGGTTTTAAAGATAGGAAAAGCGTCATGAAAATTTCCCGGAATTCTGGGTTTTACGAGTTTTGTAAAAATAAAACGGAAAATTGATGTTTTTTTTGAAGTGCGTCCCTTCCTTTAAAAACTCCCAATTTTCAAACTGTAGCTAATAGCAATTTGCAATTTTCGCCTTCTTTAGAAGACACTTGGGTGTGAAAATAACAAAAGTGTCAAAAAAATCGCCAGGAGTCCTTCATTGTGCCGGCTTCGTAAAACTCGGACTCTAAATTGATGTTTTTATCCAACTGCGTTCTTTGCATTTAAAAATCCGCATCTTCGCAACTAACGCAAATACAGATTTGAAAATTGCACCATCCGTAAACGACACTTGGGGGTAGAGATAGGAAAATTGCCATGAAAATCGCCCAGAATTTTGTGTTTTGCGAGCTTCGTCAACAGCGAATTCCAAATTGATGTTTTAACCCAACTGCCCTCTTGCCTTTAAAAATTCGCATCTTTTAAATTAAAGGCAACAAAGACTTGGAATTTACACCCCCTTTAGCAGACACTTCACTCTGAAAACGGCGAAAGTTTCATAAAAAACCTGCAAAGCGCGGCGATATGCCAGCCAGGATGAAAGTTGGTATTTCTGTTGAACTGGGCGCCCTTCTTTAAGAATTCGCATCTTCAAAACTCACTCAAGCAGCATTTGAAAATTTTGGCTGTGTTGAGAACAAACATGACATGTTATTCTTCAACCGTGATTTTCTCCAGCTGGGTAAAAATCGATTTCAAAATACACATTTTCGGTCAACAGTTTTTTCTCTTTTTCGGTTGAAAAATCGGTCAAAAGGTCGAGCTTTAGAAAATAAAAATAGTTCCAAGCGCGCTTTCACAAGTACGGTAAAAAAATTATTTAGTTTTCGAAATTGTTCAGATCGAAACAACGAATTATTGAAACCCCATGAAAATTTCGCTAAAAGTCAGAACGTCGATGGGATCTAAGGTCTATAAACAACATGTGATGGAAAGTGCACTACCAACGATGTGCTGACTTTAAGACAAAATGTTTATACGTGAATAGAAATTAGCTGGAAATCGACGAGTTTCCAGTTTTGATGCTTCAGTGAAACTCTAGAAATTAATTAGAAAAAAACACGTTTTTTCAATAATCACATTCCACATTCAGTAACCAAAACCGATTGGATTTCGGCGAATTTATGGGAAATTTGAAACAACAATGTTTGTGCTTTGCAACTTTTTGGATGTTTACAATCAGTCGCATTATTGGCAAAAGGTTTGATGGAAAAAAATGATTAATTGGCACACTTTGGCTCACTTCTATCGCGACTAGCAATGGACAGACAATTACATGGTTCTGGTAGAAAATAGGCCAAAAAATCGTTTGCATTCGTTCGATGTAAACAAATACGAGCTTGTCTCAACTGAAATAAGCTAAAAACACATTAAAATAAGAAAAAACTCGTGGTACTCTTTATGTGTTCGAAAATCCTTCCAAATCCCACCGACAGTTGGAAGCTCAGAAATGTCCTGCAGATTGGTTGGTGCTTCGAAAACACCAGCGAAAATTTGCCAGCGAAATATGGAAATAAATCCGAATTCGAGCGGGTACGGCCATGACAGAACCCGAAGAACCCGAGCTTCCGAACAAAGGCCCGGAATGCCGAAGGACCATTTATCAAAAAACGAAAAAATTAAAATAAAAAATCACCGAGAGAGTGTCGGCGACTTTACATCTCACCTCTTATTTCATATCTCTTACCAGACATTATATTTCTTAAATTCGTATATACGACTTTGTTCTTACAAAGCCTTATTGTGGTTTAAGTGATTTATTGATGATATATGAGTGTGGTAAAACTGGCTCTCTTCTCGCTGTCCGCCGGGTTTCCATAGTCGTCGAATGACTTAGAAGACGGTTTTCGGGCTTTTTAATGTGTCATCGAGCACCTTTTCGAATTATTTATCGCTGCCGAAGCCGCATCAATGAGTCCTAACTTGCCCCTAATGGGGCTTCGACGAAAACCCGTATTTATGCTCATCTAGAAAATTCGCCACCAGGATCAGGTTTCAGGCGGTCGCTTAATATTCCCGTCTGTTCCTAACTCATTTTCATGTCAAACACTCCCGGGTGACGTGGCTGCGGCCACGCCCGATCAAATTGAAAATTGAGCGCAGTTTTATGTATCAAAGGGCTCGTTAACGCGCCGCCACTCTTTTTCAGCCCTTTTTGCATTCGTAATTGAGCTCGCATATGCAAAACAGTCTCAATTTATACCAGATACGTTCCCAAAGTAACTAGCTATTCGTTTATTCGAAGCAAAGTGAGCCGAAAGCGATGTGATTACACTTACTACAAACGTTTCGGTTTTCAAACATCATCAGGAATCAATTTGTTGTGCCGAAAAATCTATGAACACGTCGGCCCTTTTTAGGAAATAAACGCAGTTTCAGTCTYGTCCCAAACCCGCTCAGAACAAGCGGTGCTTTGCAAAAAAATGATCTGAAAAAGTATCAATTTTYTTGAAACTTTCAGCATCTTTAGAGTGAAGTGCTGCCTTTGATAGACTGCAATAATTTTCAATTTTTYYTTGCTTTCGTTTGGACGATTTAATTTTTTTGAGGRACGAAGTTCAGCAGGTACTTAGATTAAAATTGCGATAAAAAATGCGAYATTTATTAAGCMTTAAGATAATTATCTTCGGATCTAAGGSAACTGTGATGAAAATKCGAGCCTCYGTAGAGTCAGGTGATTTCTAAAAACCCCGAAAATCGTAAGCTGATATTTTCCTGATTTTGYRAAATCGSAATTTTTAAAGGAACAACKGCAGTTGATCAAAAATATCCCTTTTAAAGCMGATATTTAGGTACTTAGCTGGTAAAAATCAGGATTTGRCGTGGTTTTTATGCACCMATCAGCATCTGTAGAGTCAAACATCTTCTTAAGRTTRTCAAGATTTCGAAAATTTACCTGTATTCGCTTGGTAGTTGCGAATTTTTCAAGGAGGGAACGCAGTTGGGTAAAACCTCCATTTGGAGACCGATATTCACGATGCTGGGAATTGTCTGTTTTCATGGGGATTGTGATGAAACTTTCAGACTATTTACAACGAATTATCGGCTAACGATGGTGAAACTTACGAATCGCTACTTGGGGCCACTTGCAAGTTCTGAATTTTTAAATGAGAGCCCCATTGAGCAAAGCCACCGCTTTTGAKACCGATATTTAACAAACTGTAAACCATCAAGRCTCAGGCAGATTCTCATCAAACTTCCGCCTTATTTAGAGTGAAGTGTATTCCAACAATGGGTAAAATTTCATTTTGCTGCTTGCTTTGGTTTGGAAGATCAAAATTTTTAAAGGGGGGGCTCGCTTTTCGTCAATCATTAATTTTCAGATCGACATTTAATAGGCTGGTAAATGTCAGRATTTTCTGGTGGTTTCTATGAAACTTTCCGCGTTTGTAGRGCCAAGTATCGACTRAACGTGGTGATTTAATTTTTGATTAATAWTTGACAACATTTAAAGTATCTAYTSGCTTTTATTGGGACRAACGGAATTTTTAAAGAAGAGCGCRCAGTTGGRRAAAAACTTCCATTTAGACACCGATGTTTACGAAGCTGGCAAATGGTAATTTTTCATGGTGATTATCATCAAACATTGAGAATATTTAGAGTCGATTGTCTTCTAGAAACAGTGAAACGTTAAACTCACTACTTGCTAGTCCTTGGAAGATGCGAATTTTCAACGAAAGAGCGCTAATGTTTTGAGCCATCGCTTTTGATACTAATATTTGCGAACCTGCCAAAAATTGAGGCTCCCGGAGATTSTCATGAAACTTTCGCCRTATATAGAGTTAAGTGTATTCTAACGATGGGTAAAATTTCATATTGCTGCTTGCATTAGTTTGGGAGATATAAATTTTTAAAAGGGGCGCGCATTTTTTTAGAATCCTTAATTTTCAGATCGACATTTAATAGGCTGGCAATGTCAGAATTGTAGGGTGATTTCTATGAAACTTTCCCCGTTTGTAGAGCCAAGAACCCGCTAAGCGTGGTGAAATTTTAAGTTCCTACTCGCTTTTGTTGGGAAGAACAGAATTTTTTGAAGCAGAGAGCGCAGTTGGGTAAAGCCATCCATTTGGAGACAGATATTTCAACTGTCAAAAATCAGGACGCAAGAAGACTTTCGGCATTTGTAGCGCCGAGTATCTGCTAAACAGGGTAAAAATTTCAAGTTCCTCCTCGATCTATTTTGGAAAAAACCAGTGGTTAAAGGAAACAACGCAGGTGGATAGAAACCTCCATTTTGAAGCCGTTATTTATCGGTTGGGAAGATACGAATTTTTAAAACAGAGAAAACACTTATTAAACTGGCAAAAAAAGAAATTCTGGCCGGTTGTTTTCAGACTTTTTTCCCATGCGAAAAAGGCGAAACGTTGGCGATTTTCCGAAAATACTAGCAGCATCAATCCAGCCCCGACCCGCTCGAAAAACAGCCAAAACGGCTTGACTTCAAGCAAAAAACTGCTGGCAATTTGCCGAAAACCATTTTTACGTCACATAGTTATCGTCTTATAGGTCAAAGCATGTCAATTTAATTGTTCTAATACTGTGGACTCAATTGCTACCGACTGCGCCAATAATTCTGAACATGCCAGCCTTCGGCCTGCGGCTAATAACCAGCACGGATAAATCGAGCGAAAATTGATTGAAATATGCGCCCATTGAAACGCCCCCTGAAATTCGTCGCACCGTGGCGATTTTTCAAAAATCTTCAAGAGAGCACGTGGACAAACCGCTCTGTTCATCATCCGCGTCTCTTTGTGCCCACTCAAGTTTATGACGGCGATGGCGAGCCAACAACCAGAAAAACGAAGACGAAGAGGGATTTACGCGGTTTTGTGTGCCAACTGCCCACCGGTCGTTAAGGGACCGTTTCCCGATTTTTAGGCCTTTTGTGCGAGTGATTTGTTACGTCTGCGATACCACGCGCTCCGAGTCCCTAATGGAAATGGATTTTCCGAAATGCAGCCGCATAATAAACATGTACGCTAAAGCCCACTTAAATGGATCTCTGATCGTCTGATAAACCGATTTGGTTCTCTTTAACATCGACTTTGAGTAGGTATATCGGGGCTTTGTTCATTCAAACACCTTTTCGCACAGTCAAGGGCTCCCTTGTCAACCATTTATTATACCTCAAACGTACAATAAGAGGCTTTTGTCGTCAGCTGAATCCAACAAATAAGTGCGGCAGCCTCTGTGGCGTTTTGCACCCGAAATCCGCCGGTTTTTCCCACTGATTTTTTCCGATAGCGGAATTTTGAAAATCATACAAACCTCTCAATCAACGCAACGTAAATATTATGCATTCTAATCTGGCGTGCACATATTTTGATAGATAATAATGCCGGAACGACTCGACGCGTCCCTAATCTGCCGGACAATTGAAAAGAAAATATTTCAAAGTAAATATTCACAAGTGATCAATACTCGGCAGGTTATTTGTGGTCTTAGCAATACTGAGCTCTACAGTCACATTGATTGAATGTTGACTTTGGCGCATCTTCTCCTCCAATCTCGAGGTTGTTGTTCCATTCATTTTTCTCAAACGTTTCTTATCGTCCCAATGAACATGTTAAAGCTTTGGATTGTTAAAGATTGGATAAAAATGTGAATTCTCCAAACAAGAGCCAACAAAAATCGCACAACAAGAGCATTAAAAATTGTTTAATATGCTGGCACCATGCTACCAAAAGTAACACAATCCAACTAATAAGTCTAGTAGTAGTTTGTGCACATTTTCAATCTAGTTAGTATTAGGTGCCCCCTGTAACAGACGCGATTATTTTTCCTTGGGGTGGCGCTGTAGTGAGAGCGAGACGCACATAGCAAATGACGTCAAAACCGGCCAGTCCTTGTCGCACCATTTCGATATACCGGGGCTAAATAATGCGTTCCTGCTCTTGGATTGGTAATAAGCAAAACTCTAGTTTTGGATGTTGTTATCTAAATTGCAAGGAATTAGTCCWAAGSCGGTTTTAGGTTYAAGRCATTATGGCGYATTTAATATCAAAGCTGTGCAGGATGCAACACACTCYTTTCCTTTAAAAATTAGCAGCTTCCGAACTAMAGCAAGCAGCGCTTCGCAACTTTCACCATTTGTAGAAGACACCTTAKTGTAAAATCCCCAAAAGTATCAAAAGCGTCGCYCAGAGTCCTGATTTTTGCCAACTTAGMATCGRTTCAAAGTGGATGTTTTTATCAAAATGCGCCCTATTTTTTTATATCGCCCGCTCAAAAGTATGAAAAGTAGCAACTTGTAGTTTCCACAACCGTTAGAACACATTTGRCTCTAAAGCTCCCAACAATTTCATAAAAATCGGCCAGAATGTTGAGGTTTGCCAATGTATTAAATAGCGGTCTCCAAATGGCTGTATTAAACCAACTGCGTTCTCCGCTTAAAAAATTCGTAGCTTCCAGCCAAAGCTAGTAGCAACTTGAAATTTTCAGCGTCTACGAACGGATACTTTTCTGGAACAACGCTAGATATTTCACGAAAATCGCCCTCAAACTAGAATTTTTCCAGCGCAACTGAAGCAAACAGCTGGTTGACATTGTCATTGTTTTGAGGAAAAACTTTACCTTCAATTTCGGGGAAGAAAAAAATCACACAAAAAGTAGATGTTGGGTGGCCTAATAAAAATCGCCTTCAAACCGAACGTTTTTATTCAAATTCTGTGAGATTTCTTTAAAAAATCCTGAAAATTTAATCGCACAACAAAAGCATTAAAAATGTTATGCTGGCGCCGTGCCACCGAAAGTAACAAAATCCAACTAATAAGTCCAGTAGTAGTTTGTGCACATTTTCGATCTAGTTAGTATTAGGTGCCCCCTGTAACAGCCGCGATTATTTTTCCTTGGGGTGGCGCTGTAGTAAGAGCGAGACGCACATAGCAAATGACGTCAAAACCGGCCAGTCCTTGTCGCACCATTTCGATATACCGGGGCTAAGCAATGCGTTTTTTCGGTTGAACTCTTAATTAGCAAAACTATACGTTTGCTGATTAGGGATTTCGTTATTTAGATTGAAATAAATTAGTTTTGTTCAAGATTTGCCAATTAAAATTCAACATTTAAGGGCCAATTTGAACATTTGCTGACTCCATTCACACAATTCCAACGGCTGATGTGGTTTGTTCAGAACTGCTCGTTGATGGGAATATGATCCGGACGTTTCGCTAGCACGCACGGTTTTCATCTTCGGAAGTGTGTTCGCTTTTTCAGTGGCCAATAAATCGGGGAAAAGTGCGTAGTGTAAACCGGCAAAGGAGGCTTCAATCGGCATCAGCAGAGACAAAACCAAGCCAGCCTTTAAGGCGATCATGTTTCCGGAACAAATGCAATTCAGTGTCAAAATGATTGTTTGAGACACGAAGTAGGCGCGAAGACATGATTGTTTGTAAATTTTTAAACCTTTTGTCTTAGGCGGTAAACCACTTAGACCAAACCAGACCAGGCCAGGTCATACATATGTAGAATCCCCGATTCTTATGTCATGCGACACACCCTGATAATAGTTTTAAAATATTAACAATTTGGATTAGTCGGCTGAGATGAGGAAGTGAAACGGGCCGCCCAACCGATCGGATCGCGCCCCATATCGGAACAATTCGCACAATGGGCGCCCCTCAAACACAACTTTTACCTCAGTTAATATGATAAATATACACTCACACCCTTGTAAAGTCAATATGTTCAAAGTGCAAAATAATAGAGTGGGCTGGCACAATGGGTGTCATGTCAGGGCGATGTAACGTGCATCTTGGCCTGTTCGAAAACCTGTGTATCAGAGGCGCTCATTCTCCGGCCCCCTTGTTGTATTTTGTGGTCGGTCACAAAAGGGCTTCTGCAGCCCTTACGCGTCATTACACATTAACGGATTTTCGGGGGATTTTTCACGGGTTCCACACCTCACCTTGATGCTGCCAATCGATCATCATTCCATGGACAACGTTTCGGTTATGCGGCACGACCACCAGTCAGCCAGGTTCCAGACGAATGTTTTTAACTTTTGGGTTTATGAACGTAGTTTTGTTTGGTCGCAAACAGCAGAAGAAAACTGCCTGGATCTTAAAGGTATTGAGGAAACTATCAGAATCTTCACAGTCAGCCCAGCGTTTTTCGACTAAAGTGTCTACTGGATGGTCATTTGTACATCATCCTAGACAGAAATAAGTGACCTTTTTAGAAAGTGAACCATGTATAAGAAAATTTTGGCAGTTTTCTCAAAAAATGCTTGAATTCAAGAAGTTTTAGAATTGCGTGGTTTTTTTTGAGTTGCAGAATCCACTTGAACATGACGCTGTTTTTTTTTCGAAGTTTCTCAAGAACCATTTGAGGCACAGAATTCGTTTTGACATAGTTGAATAGAGAAGTGATAACTCGATTCAGTCGTAACAAAGTGAGTGAGGAAATTCGAGTGGTTT